TACAAAAAAAAATTTCTGTGGAAATCTGATCCCAGTAGATATTATTACACACACGAAGAATACAGAATTCGAAGTTAATGCTTATTGGTTTTAGAAATTGATCTGTTGATGGGTGTGCCAGATGGGTATAAGCAAAAGTTTATTTTCAACACCCAGTTTTTAATTTTGTTAGCAAGAGGTATTAAATAAATATAGCAAGATGTATTAATATTTATTTTATATCTTAATAATGATTGAACAATTGTTTATGGTTTTAATTTATTTTGATGTAGAACAATATTCGACATGATACTTCAATTGGAGCTAAGCTTTGTACTGCTTTCTTATAGTGCTCATTCACGATTTCATCATTATTTTTATAGTAAGTATTTGTCTTACTGTATAAAATGGGTTTTTATAATTAAAATGATAATTTATAAAAAAAATAATGCTGACTTTTTGTGTGAATTACTACAACGTGTTTTTATCCCTTACATGAAACGTTATTTGTATGTTTTCGGTATGTTATTTTAGTATAATAAATATTTTTAGGAATAACTCTTTTTATTCAAAGTAAATGCTATATTATCACAGAGATTAGGCTTGATAAATACGTGGAAGAACTATTGAATATGCTAGTTAAATATTGCATGTGCTAGATAATGAAATAGGCTCTAAGAAATATCGGTACAAACTTCGGTACTGATCAGTTTAAGAAAAAAAAATTTATAAAACAGACAAAATTTCATTTTGGCTCGGTTGATAGCATGTTGGGCTACTTGGCTTTTTTTCCCTGTAAATGTTAGGAACCGTAAAACGCGCGAGAATAATGCCTTTTCGGGAAGAACATTTAGAAGAAGCTGGCCCCTTTTAGGCGTTACAGAAGCAGAGAAAACCCGGAAAATCTTCACGTGGCAAGCCCGTTCGAGCGAGATGCGAACACACGCCCGAACTCCCAGTGTTTAGGGTCTGGTCTCCACAGGTGAGCAAAGACGGAGTCCAGTCGTCCACTGGTGGGCACGGTTTTAATTTTTATAAATATTCTAATTCTTTTGATTAAAGTAATTTACAAATATGTAAAATGTGTGTAAATTTCAGATTCAATTGCAAGCAAATTCATTCAGAAAGAATACATTTTTCACATGGTAGCTGAGAACTTCGTTTCACAACCTGAACTGACTTTCTTCTATAATTCTGACGATCGGCGTTTTGCATTTACTGAAGGGTTTTGGAAGTCTACTTTTATAGAAGTAGAAAAAAGTTTCGTTAAAATTGTAAGTTATTTATTTATTCAAACTAGTTAAACATTTCATACTTTAAATTTCTATTGCATAATTATTAGTAGTTTGCAGTTTATAATATCTACTGACTTTAAATGTTTTAAAATGACGTTGTTAATTTATTACATTCTTATTTGTCGATCTGTTGCCAGTTAAAAAGCCACCGATCCTCACTTTTTCGCTGTCCATATGTCTATTTTAGAGTTTTTATCACAACTACACACCTAAATTAGAACACTTTTTCATAAAAAGTCTTCTCTGATGGTACCCTTTCAAGCAGCACGCTTAAATCTTTAGCTGTCATATCATATCAAAGTAAAAAATCTATTGTTTTATTTAAATGTATTTATGATAACTCAAATTACTCTAATTTTGTCTATAATTTTATATAAAATTCGGAATATAATACAATAATTAAAAATTTAGGAGTTGATACGCTTGTAAACTTTTCTTCCTGTGGCTTGTCCACATTCTGTTTTAGGTCATCAGAGCAGTAAGCTTATGTTTTACCTTTATCGGATTGTAAAATTAATTGAATTTACTCAATGCATCACCTGGACAATTTGTCAAGGAGAAAAAGCTCTCTCGGAGGACTTTCCACAGGGATCTACTCATTTAATATGTAGGAGTCTCTTGAAAAAATTGTGAAAATGCCTTACATCCAATTTATTGACAAGGCATGAACCATCACCAACTAACTTTGTTTAATAGTTTTATTCAGTCGCCATTCAGCTTTTCCCACTTTTCTATACGCTTAGATTCTGATAAACTGTTGTTCACAAAAGTCTTAGTCTTTCCACAATATACAGCTCTCCCTTAATGGTCTGACAGGTATGGGACCAAAGGGGTGTTGGATTACCAAAAGTGTCCGGATTACCGAAAATAATTACACATTTTGCATTGTTTTGCTAGCAGTAGCTTACGATATTCCCTACTCTAACTGTTCTAACAGAACTGCTCGCAGAAAACACACGAAATGTGTGTCATCGTGTAAGAATTGGATGGGGAGATTCACGTCGCGACATGCTTCTGTGCAGGCAGACACGTAACGGGGACAGGTACCTTGATGAGAGATGCGTCGGACTACTGAGCATGTCGGATTAAAAAACGTCGGACTATGAAGGGAGAGCTGTATATTTATTTATTACAATAGTATTTATTGACTGGTATGACAGTTTTTACGATTATTGTGAGATAAAAACATAGTAATCTACTTGTTATCTACTACTTGATCGCTATATGATTTCACTTCCAACTAGCAGCAATAAATGTCACAATTTGGCTAACTCTATGAGTGTTAAAATGTGTGTTATTCCAGTTTCAGATTCATAAACTGTTCATTCTGCAGTTTTATTAGATTCCTTTTATATTTCTTTTATCATTTGCAAATTTAAATGTATTTCAGTGTTAGTACGAAAACGTGTTATCTTTCGTTTACTAAATTAGTCTTTTTAGTGGTTTAAGTAAAATAGTCAATGTATTAAAAATTACATAATTTAGCTAATTATTCTATGGAATAGCTATGTATTCTATGTATTAACTAACCAGTGTTAGTTAGAATACGTAATGAAATAATAACATAAATGCATGTGAAACTCAACTTAATTTAATATAATAAATAAAATACTGCAAAAGTATAACACTTTTTATATATTAGAATAAGGAGTGCTGAAGTGGCATTTGTAATTGCAGAAAATATTATTTTTTAGACAAGCACAGATTTTATTGTCGCACTGTTTTCACATGAGCATTTTTGAAATTCCGACCTGTTAATCGATAAAATCCTTGAGTAGTTTTTTCTATAACAACAGCAAGAATCTGTCATCCCCTCGTCCTTTCTCAAACTTAGCCACCAGGATACAAATCGTTATTCCTTGAGATTCATCGGAATGTGATATTTCTTACAGTATTTTCATTTTTTTTGTTTGTATTCCAAACATTCTTTGTCTTTTTCTTTTCGGACAGTCAGTTTATTTAAACATAACATGCAGATCTGTCAAAACCCATTTTTTGCAATGTAGCATTTCTAGGTGGTTCTCTGAATCCTTAAGCAAATGACACATAATATAGATATGGCTTCTTCAAACAAAGTTTCTTTATTTTGTGTTGAAGACAGAGTATCTGGCAAATAATTATAATTCAATGAATCATACGCTTCCCTTGGTATGAGTGTTGTTGAAATCTCACTTGGCTGTACACCCTAACATAGCTTCGTGAAAAGATCTCTTTATACCAGAGGGAAAGGTTTATTTCTAATAAATTGAATAAATTTTAGATAGTTTCTCCACTATGAACATTGATTGCTTTGCATCCAGACATTGATTGTTAACATATTTTCTTTGTCTTGGTTGGCTCTCTCTGCGCTTTCTTGGCTCTGACTTTTAATTGGTTTCCCCTGCAGAATTTTAAGTTTTGGCCAAAATATTTTTTAACTCTTCTATAAGCTTATTGCCAAATTCGAAACCATTACCAAACTGGATTAGCATCGAATAGCAGCAATATAACAAGTGATTATCAACTTATTCGACTCTCTTTGTTCAGAGGAACCTTTAAACAACACACTTAGACATGTGATTTTGGTACACTAAAATAAACTTGTAATTTCTATTATGTTGATGCTGAAAATTTACTAGATCTTTTTGACATCTTGAATTCAAGTTATGAATTTATCATAACTTGAATTGACTACAACATTAGTTTAAATGGCTTACGACCAATTCATCATTATCATGACCAAATGTTAGAACATTATACATTCTAACGGGCCTGTTTACCTATTTCATGAAATAGCTACATATTCACTTAATTAAATAACGGATAACAGACTTTAACGATAACAAATATACAGAGTCACAATGTTTAAAGTTTTCCTGTTCAGAGTACCGTGTAGCTTTACAGCCAAATTCCTATATAAGTCATTCATCGAATGCGGAAAAATATTGCGAAAGAAAAATTGAGTTTAAAAACTTCCGAAATGTGGCACTTTTGCATTTATTGTTTGGAAATTTCGCAAATTTAGAATACTTAAACGAATACTGAACACGCGCATCATCACTGGATATTAATTGCAATCAGATGTAAACCCCAGACCATTATTATGAAATTTTAGACGACAGCAACAGGGCACACAATGATCGATATTCTCTTAATCAGTAAACACGCGTGCAAAAAGCATGCCCACTAGTTAAACAATACATGAGATTTCGAGGTGTTTAAGAAAAACTACACGACCGTGCAGTTTTGTGAAGACAGATTTAAACTCTTTTCTCTTTGCAACATTATTTTTGCATTCTATGCCTAGTCTGTATATAAATTCTAAAGTAAATCCGATTATCAGTTACAGGTATTATGTACAGTACATTGTATAAGGAAATTTTAACTATGGTCACCTCTGTAATTGTAAAATTATTTGATTACCTGGGCATTAAAATACTGTCGTCTTATGGTCATCATCGGTTCAAACAAACCCACATTATAGACAAATAGATTGTAGAAATCGATCTACACACCATTTCCTAAATATTTTTGAAAGTTTTTGATTACTCAAACTCAATTATAAATTTCTCACTTTGGTAGGTTATTGTTTAATGAAAAATAACTTGCTTTATAACAAGTTCAACTAGCTTTTGTCAATAACATTAAGTACAATATTATTAAGTTCATTTATTGTTATTATTATTGTAATTATATATTATTAACCTATTTATTTATTTATTTCCTTAAATTGTTATTATCTTTAAACGTTTCAGTGCAAAAATTATAAAATGACTTCTTGTAATATGTACAACAGGACAAAAATAATTGAAAAGAAATCGTTAATACCAGATAAAATAAAAGTTGGACTACATTTCGTAAGTATAAATAAATCTAACGTATAATTCTTCTTATCTTTTACAATTTAAAATAAGGTAATATTGTGTAACATTTCAAATACAATATGAATTTATGTGTGTGCAAAATTCACTGTAATTCGGTTCGAAATAATCTGTATCTTAATCTACATGATATTTTAAATGTTATTACATTTATCTTCGATTTTTGTGCATAAAACATAATACAACATAATATCTTTTACCCACTTTTTATAAATGCTAACTTATGGCATTCTTATTTTTAGGTAACAATTAGAAATCTTTAGCTATTGTTTAGTAGTACTTTCGGTGAATTTTAGCTTTTGTAACAGGAAAGTAATGTAATTACATTAATTTTTATAGTATCCTTTTATTCTGTTTAATGTTTTTTTTTTTCATTTTTTAAATTGAGGGCATTACAGGAACGTTATTCCCCCAGTGTCAGTTATTTGGCCAGTGAGAAGCTGAGAGCTGCCAAATAGTAGACGACATGGTTCAGCAAAGGCAGGAGAAGTCATTTATAAAATATTCTTTCATTTCTTGCTTGAATTTGATCCCGGATCACTCGGAGTATGATGCATGATCAACCTCGACCATTTGATCTTGATATCTTTTTGGTCGTTTACTATCATAACAGTTAAATCGAATGATGTGAATAAATTTTACAGCTTCTGATAAGTTAAGCAACTCTCAAGAAAAAGATATATTTAATGCCTACATTTATGCAATAAAAAAAATTAATGTAAATTTATAGTTAATGTTTGCAACATCTGTTTACCGAATATCTAAATTTTACTGCATCAAATAGCATAAGCCTGTAGAGTGTTATAGATTTGGCAAATGGAAAACTGCGGATAGTGTTTAGCACATTGCTACAGTATCATGATTATTCATGCACAAGCTTTAATATGCAAATGGTTAAGAATCACGAGTTCGCCTCAGATTGGCCTCAATTATTTGAAAATTGGTCGAACAATAAAACGTTCTTGTATACAAACGTTCCTATACAAGAACTGATAAATAGCAACCATATTATACTGTGAATAGGACGTTGTAAAAAAGCTGTGATGTCGTTGCACTGAAAACTGACGGACTGAGTGTATTCAATGCACAAGACAGAACAATAGAAATATTGTGCCCAAAGTTTCATTTTGCAACTTTTCCAGAAATTTTCAGTCATGGGCAAAAGCCGAAATGATTCAGGCAAGATTACTTTTTTGCAACATTTTGTATTTTCTCTGCACCATCTGCAGCAAACACTTCTTAAACACAGTTAAATTATTTTCTGCAGCACAGAGATAGTTGCTTCTGAAGAAAAAAGGAAGAAAAGTTATCAAAGCAGATATTATCGCATATGAAGACTTCAAAAGTGTTGTTCGCTGAAGAAATCGCTTCTTTGTTCACTCGGTTGCTCTACGATTGCTTCAAGTCAAAAGATAGCAAGAATAAGACGAAAGTGCATGTAAATGTAATACAATAAATGTGAAATTATTTTTTTACGATGATGAATGAATACAGGTAAATTATTCGAAAGGAACAGCATTGTTATCAGCAGAAATTTCTTCTCATCACAAAACTTGATTTTCTAGTAACACGTTGCTTATTGTCATATATCAATGAAAATAAATAAGCCTGAGAGCAATTAAAAATTATAAAAATACTTTTATTTTCTTAAGTTAAATTGTTGGTATTTGTACTGTCAGGTCAGGATTTGCATGCCCTAAAAATCAGAAATTCTAATTTTTCGCGCTTTTTAGTCTTTTGGTTTGTCAGAAATGCATTTTGGGCCATGTTCCTCATCAGTCTGACAAAGAATGTAGACAAAAAAGTAATCAACAAGCAAAAGTAATGTATAATTTAATAAATTCGTATATAACCCATACAACAAAATGTTTCAAAATATAAACGTAAGAATAATCGGTTCAGCTGTAAAAAAATAAAAACGATAATGGACACTAATAAAGATATTAGACATTCCAATTTCCCACAAACAGCATGCTTTTTATTTGAATATGATTTAATTAAATAGCATAAATAAATAAACTAATGAAATATTAACTTTTTATAAAGTATCTCAAGTAACACATATTGATATTTCGTGTGTCTGAATATAAGAGAAACATGTGTTTTACCTTTAAAGGTGAGGTAAATATGTATATTATAATAATTGGTTTAATATTATCAGCTCTTATTTCATTAATATTTGACAATACAATTAGTAAAACATCGCTCATTTTCAGACAGTGACGAAGTTTATTCAACAATTTATTAATTTAATACAAAATTTAATGTTATAAATGCAAAGTAATATCACACTTACAACATAACTAAACACTTTCTGTTGACGATTTAGTTACAAAAAATTTTAAATATTCGAAAACATTTTTAATTCAGCCAGTCATAATCCAATTTAGATAAATTTTTTTGGTGTAATCCATTTAAGGCATTTTTTACATATTTGTATATTCAGAAAAATATTTTCTATAACGAAGAGAAAGAACTACAGTAGAGCATCGATTATCCGAATCAATTAGAAACCGGGGTTGTTCGGATAACTGATATTTCGGATAACCGACTATGTACGTAAAAAATAGTTTAACGTATCCGATGTTGAAATTTTTCTCCGTTGCGTGTTGCTTTGCATAGAATTTTCGTCGATGTTAAGCCTAACGAAGACTATTATATCGTTAAAAAATATTTTTTTATTTTGTACAAACAAAATAAATATATTGAAAAATATAAAAACAATAAAAAAATAATATTTCAGAAGTTAATTTAGTATCAAAAACGTAAAATATTTGAATAGCTCAAGATATAGCCAAAGATTGCAGCGCCACAGCACTAGCGAAAATTTAAATTCACAGACTGGAATTCTTTCGGATAATTGACTTTCGGATAATCGACGCTGTACTGTATTAAATATTTAAAGTAAAATTTAAACTATAAATTTACGTAAAGTAATATTTAATATTATATAATAATCATAACTTTTTCAGGCAAATTTCTACAATAAAAAATTATTTATTCGGAGATATATTGACCTATTAGCAGATGGACTTCATTCTAAGTATACTTTCTTTCATACAGTATACGTAAATCATATTAGATGTGTTAAATTCATTCTGCTTGTTTCCTTTTAGGTTGGAAATAACAGCTTACATACACGAGGTAATAAATCTATATCAAGCAATTATACTGTTATAATATGTATTTCAATAATTTAATTTTATTTATTAGGCAGACATCGGCATCTGGGATATTAATATCAGAAAATCTTTTGTGTCTTATTCTTCGTCCGTAAATAACATTCTAACCCTATTTGCAATACGTGCTGCAAGACCTTTAGATAAAGCCTTTATCTTGGTAAAACCTTTCGATGTAATGGTAATGTTTAAAAAATTATTATTTTCTCTATATATTAAAGAACGTTTTTGCACTGTACGAATCAAAATTTACATGGGGAAAGAAATATTAAATATTTGATAACGTATCAGATTTACTGATCGTTAGTATAAATCAATGCAATACTCGAGCCGTCTGCCAATGAAAATATGCTTTTAGGAAAATAATTTATAGATTATTTAACGCATATATATGAAAATGTATCCTATTAACATGATAAATATTAGAATACAAAGAGAAAAACCACGCAGTCAGAACTTTGACGAAACACAAACTCAGATCCAACTAGAAAAGTCCAGTAGTGTAGTCTATTTAGCCATGGCTTGGCTATTACAAATTCACGTGGAATATATCGAAATAAAACGTATTTTCCATGTATAACGATTTAGCTTTTTATTATTTTAATTATTTATAAAATAATATACTCTGGGATCTATCAACAACAGCCACTCATAAGAACATGAAATTTTGTATAACGTGGTCTTTGGTTGTAGGTTATTTTATGTACAAGAGAACACTCCTGAACAAACACCTGCCATTTACAGATGGTCGTTATTGCAGGTTTCACTGTATTATAAAAATATTATTTTAAAAAGAACAAAATAATTATTCGAATTCTGTGTTTCAGATCTGGATTTGTATTCCTTTTTCTTTCCTTATCATTTTGTTAACTTCGTATGGAATAATGAAAAAAGAGACTGAATATAGAAACAAGGAAATGCCAAAATTTTCCACCTTATTTTCGATTATATTGAGAAACTTCCTTCGACAAGGTATGTATTTTATACTATGTACGACGCCAATTTTCATAAAACAAATATATCACGAAAATAATGTGTAAGAGTAGAGTAGTTAAATGACATTTTGTGTGTAATAAATTGTGCTGTTATGATTTACAATGTGAGGTGATGAATGTTAATGTTATAAGTAAGCTTACATCTGTTTGTTTAAAGTTTTTGTTCAGTTTCGTTAATTAATATTTAGAAAAAATTTTCAAAATCATTGACCTTTATTTACGAACGAAAACATTATTTTAGTAAATTTGACATGTTTAGTGCTTTCCTTGTGCAATTGCCAATTGTTTTCCAGACACAGATGTAGATCGCTATTTTCTTATAACGTTTCATATCCTGATTGGCTGTTGGATCCTGATTGCATTTATCCTGACATCAGCGTACGTCGGCACATTGCCATCGTTCATGGTTAATCCTGGAACCGAAACCATTCCTCATACATTTCAGGAATTGGCTAATTCGGTGAAGAAAGGACGATACAATATCACTTACTTCCAGAATAGTCACGAAGATGTGTACTTTCTTCGACTTTATTTGGACGTACGTATCATTTTATTAAAAATAATTTTAGTTATAAATCTAAAATATCAAACCATTCTAAAGACTCGTTCAATATGATACTGGGTGTGGATTTAGTATTAAAATTTACAAAAAAAATTAAAAAGATTGTATAATTACATAAATTACATAACTATCAATTGTCAATATTGCATGAAACGTGACAACGCTCTTTCTGAGGTCAGAAGTAAACTTTTGAAATGTTCGTTTTTTCTGGAATTGTTATTTACGTTATTATAATAAAGATTAAAGTAGGCGAAGTTAACCGCATTATTCTTTTGATAAAAGGACTGTATTCTTCGCTGTAAATAAAAAGATATAGTCGACAGAATCAAAATAATCTTCTACGTTATTAGCTTGTGCCATTATAATTTATAAAATCAAATGCCAATTAATTATTTTTCAGTAATTGATATAAATATTGAAAAAATATTCAGATAATTAAATGAAGAACAATCGATCGTGAGTTTAATTCATATTTCACGTGTATTATTAATGGAAAAAATAATATAGATGTTACTACATATGTCATTAAACATAGTCTATAAATGGCCAGTCACATATAGAATCATGTCTCTTAATTTAACTTGAAACATGTAATATTGTTTTTATTCTGTATTTATCAATCGTAAATACACTAGCTGAATTCACATCAATGAAACATTGTTGCTTTAATTGCTTGATACAGTTTAGTCACAACTGAAATGTTTAATATCTTGAAAATCATTATAATTAAATATGTTTATACATAAATTTCAAAGCATTGTGAGTTTGCAAGTGCAAGTTAGATCTTCTATAAAAAATTAAAGTTGTGTGTGTATATTAATTCACATGAATTTATTTATTAATATGTTTGTAGACGAACTTCAAGAAAATGATTAAAAGTGATGTTATCGAAACCTTTTATGAAAATGTTCAAGAATGTAATGATCCATATGAAGAACCAATTAAGAAAGTACTTAATGGAACTCACGCCGTGCTAGCATCAAGACAGAAAATTGAATTGAGTATGACCAAACAACAAAAAGAAGAGGTTTTTATCTCGGAAGACATACTTTTTACGAATTTTCAGTTCATAAAAATGAATTTAGTGAAAGTGAATTATGCCGAGGAAATCTCTGAAATGTAAGTATGAAAAATTGTTTCTATCAATTACAATTTTTCTGTGCACAATGCCACTGAACATTGATAGTTACGGTTACTCTGTGGAAAGAATCGACTCGTGATTAACGTCAGACGACACGTCATTTCAGCTAAACCAATTGTATACTTTCTTATAACGTTAGCTCTTTAGTTTAATGTATCTGGTAATATGTAAAATTTATTTTATTTTTTCTCACAAGACGACAGAACAACTTTACTGTTCGTTAATTGTTCATATAGTGTAATAACTAACGATATTGATAAATTTAACAATTACTATAGCGAACTTCGTGGTAAAACCAGAATGTGAAGCTTCCATAATACTGTTTCGAAAAACGGTTACACGTCTAACAAATGAAAAAGAAATCGGACGTAACTTGTTATAAATAAACGATCAATATCTGATACTCATTATTTAATACACAAGTTGTATTTCTAATTCGTGTATAAATTATTAAATATATATTTCAATAATTCAAACGAACTGCATACTTTCTGAGTTTATGCCAGAAATTGATACTAGAACGTTCCATATATGTTAAAGAATATGAAGTAATTTTTCATAGCCAATAAGAAAAGAACTACTAATTAAGTAGACTTTAAAGAATTAATAGTTAGTGGCTTTTTTTATTCAGTAATACACCACCCAATGAACACTTGATTTAAGTATATTTTGTTAAAGGATATGCATTTCGAGTTTTAATGACACCTCTTCAATCATTAGACTTTATACGAATAAAAGAAATAAATATGAGTTGCATTATACAAAATAATACATAAAAAACACACCTTTTTTTTGTAAAATGTGAAAACTGAAGTAGGGTCATTAAAACCCGTAATGCATTTCCTTTAATAAAATATACATAAATCAACTGTTGCTTGTGTTATGTGTTACAGAAGAAAGAAAGCCACTAGCTTTTAATTCTTTAAAGTATATAAAAAACCAGTAACGGAAACTTAATTAAATACTACTTAAGTGTTTAAAGATGAAAATTAATAATTGAAAGTGCAATATTTTATAATTTAAATTGTTAAATTGGTGTAATCATAAAATTTTTAGTAACTTCTTGATTTAATACTTTTATTTAATAAGTGATGTAACTGAACAATACAAAAATTTCATAGTATAAAAAATTTTGAATTTAAGTAACTTAAATATCTCTAATATGTTTCCTATCTCAAGTAATGTATTTTATATATAAAGAAGAGTAATGGTATGTATTATATTTAACAGAGTAAATCGTATTGCACAAAGTGGATTATCTGAGAAAATTGACAGACACATTGTTGATGAAAAAACAAGAGAAGACTTTTTTTACGATGATAAGACAATCGATACTAATAATGAAGAACCTCTGAAATTGGATGATATTACGGGTTTACTTTATTTATTAATTACAGGATATTTGATCGCTTCTGTAGTATTTATTATAGAAATTCTTGTAAACAAGATAAGAAAGATTACAAGCAGAAAAGGCAGAGTGAAGCCATTCAATATTGTTAATTAATATTTAATCATATTTCAAAATTAAGGTAATAATGCTGTATTCGTTAAAGTAGTTTCTTGTTCTTATTAACTTTTTTATTATATTCTAATTTCTATTGTCATTCACATTTCGCGGATGTGACATAAAAGAAGTATCGTAAAATCTCTGTCGTTTATGTAAACACATCAATTTAAATTAGGGAGTTCGAGGGCTGCTATATGATTTAATTTCTCTGGTACTGCTTGCATTTAAATGGGCCGAAGAAAAATCTAGAAAAAAAATCGAATGACTTGTTATTTCGGTTGACATCTGACGCATCTCGATATATTTATAGGCAACGCAATAAGTTATTTAAAACAAAACTGTGTAGGGTGCCTATAAAACACCCTAGTTATCCATCATATAATTATATAGGCCAATATATATGTTCAAATATTACAAATTTGAAAATGAGATCTAATAAGTTATGATTGTATGATATTATTGAAATCAGCTTCTCCATAGTAAGAAAAAAATGAAATATAACAAAATACATATACAAATGAAGACATATACAAAGCACTATAAGTCTATAACTTGCTTATTTCTTAAACAGATAAAAAATATATTCCCGAACATGCCCGTAACCGAAAGTGTATAAGGATGAAGTTTACGTAAAGATAATGATTTACGCAACCTCTTGCCCTTTAGTATGCATGTGATTTAACAAACTTGAGGTATACGTGTGTAAAGTTGCATATCAGAAAAAATCGTGTGGCACGTCATGTATCTTGAGATTTTGGTTTAGGAACTCTGTTTATCAATTCTTTTTTTATTAACTTATTTTTTTTCAAGGAGAGTCTTTTCATTTACTCTAAAACACTATAATAATAGTTAATATGTGGCAAGTTGACTGAGATAGCCTTGTTTTGTTTGTACACGGAGAAAGTTGTGCCAAAGTTTTAGATTGATTTTGGTGTTAACGAACACGAAATATAATATGCAATATGTTTTTTGTTGCACTTTCTTATGCGAGTAACATGGTTGTATAAGGAAAAATGTGCAGCTTTTATTAAATCATCATCAGAATGATTGAAATGCCTATGTAAATGTACATTAATTTGATATCTTACAGAGTAATAATAATAGTAACTTAAAACGCATTACTTCAAAAATATTTTTTAACATATATTATAATAATTATTAAAAAATTTATATCTGCACAAATTTTTGTTAACTAATGTTTCAACCTTATGTATTTGAACGTAGGGGAGATCGGGGCAAGATCGGCATGTTAAGCTTTACTTAAATTTTGTGTAATAAATACTGCTGTAAACTGAAAAAAAAGCTTTGCATATTGTCTATTGGAATGTTTTCTTACTATAGAACTGGTTAAAATCAGTTTGGAAATAAAAATAATTAAAATAATTACAACTTTACAAGAAGAGAGAAATTGACGAAGTTGCCCCGGGTATAGGGGCAAGATCGGCAACTTCTCTCTTTTTGTAAAGTTGTAATTATTTTAATTATTTTTATTAAAGTTGCCCCTGGTATAGGGGCAACAGTAATGGGGCAAGATAGGCACGTATATAAAATTATGTTATTAACAATGTATAAGTTGGAATTCACTATTAAAACAAAGAAATACAAATCCAACACCCATTTAATATTATTACAACGAAATGCAAGTTCAAAGACATATATACATGAATAACAAATGCAAACATGTTTTCATTTATCATCTGTTTGATTTTTATCCTTTGCTTCTAATGTGGCTTTATGTTGCCGATCTTACCCCGCTAGTCATGATTTCGAAACATTAAGTACAACCCTGAGAACAGAATGCCAAGCCACGATCTGGCCACGTGAATAAGTTGAAGTTACATCCTTCTAACAGGAAAAGTAACTTTCGTTATCATGGAATTATAACAAAACCTGCCAATTCAATATAAATGGAAAAAAAATATTATATGGAATTGAACGAAAATGAAAATTTGCTTGATAATTCAACTACGCTTGTTGGAGAACAATAAAAACACTACACTCAACAAGCCACCAATAAAACTCAACTGCCTAACCTATAACCAAAGTCTCCTTTTAATTTGTTTTTTAAAAAAAGCGCTTGACCAACTTGCCCCGCATGCCGAAGTTGCCCCGATCTCCCCTATAATAACTCCAAAAACTGAATGTTTCATTTCTTACTTTTTAATGAGTATTTAATATTAGATATACTATAATATAATTAATTTAAAATAAAGTCACATCTTTGCATAATGATCACTGACTGTCACTAAGCAGTTTCGTTCCTGAACACTATAAATTCGGTTGTGGGTTCTCTCCTCACCGAGGCTAGCTGGCCACATGGAGTTTTCCGGGTTTTCTCCACGTTTCTAACGCCTGAATAGGGGCCAGTTGCTTATAGAAGTCCTCCCGGAAGGCATTATTTTCCAAGTATAAACAAATATTATATCATTACTAACTACGTAACATTGCAAATGCATGTCACAACTTACCCCAAGGCACCATAGCTTAGTAGCTTTTGCCTAACATAAAAGACAAGAAAAGACATACGAGTTTGCTGTTTTCCGGAGTTAATTCTTTACTTAAAAGTAAAGAATTAACTCCAGAAAACAGCAAACTCGTATGTCTTTTCTTTAAAAAAGTTAATTTTATGAGCTTTCCTCAAGGAAAAAGTTTAACTTTTCTTATTAGAAGTGAATCTTATTTGGAGATTCGATTGTGTATACTTCTAACATCGATATTAAAAATATATATGTTAAATTTTTCATATGTACTTTTGACATTAAGCCAATAAAGTAATTATATCACAGTTACGTTTCTGATGTTTTAATACTCTCAACTAAAAAATAAAGTATCCAGCAGAAAGTTCTTTAATTTTTTCGTCATCAACTGGGTGTGGTGTTACCTGTTTTGATAATTTATGAAAAAAGTTTTTATATTTTTAATTATTATAACATGGCATCAATTCTAATTCTGAAAGTAGAGGTATGAATTATAAAAAACTGTGAATGTTAGTATTGCCAAAAATTGTTTTAAGTTCTATCATAATCGAGATTCATCATACAATTTTTTTCTTCTTGTAAACCAACTTCAAACTTTAACCAATAAAATTTAGTACTAATAATCATCTGAAAAATCAAACTTTTAAGCCTAATTTCGAAAATTTTTCGACAAAAATGACAAAAATTATTGAGCTTCCAACAAGATGAGTAAAATCGTTTTTCACACACAAATACTAATATGTATACAAAATGAAAAATCCCCAATATTTTATGCCTTCAACAACATGGTTTTACCTGAAGTTAAGGAGAACGTAAGAAATCTCTACGACAATTCATCTGAAATTAATAACATACTTGTGAGATTGTAGATTACAATTTGGAAATTTGTATGAATGGTTGAAGCAAATATCTATGACATTGATTCAGGGTCATAGCAGTTATTGAATTTAAACGTTTTGTTACATTTTGACATGTTTAATAAAAAAGACTATTATTTATTAATTAAACATAGACTTATGGAAATCATTTGTCCATTTATTATTATTTTTATTAAAATATACATATTTTTTCAGACAGTCATCTTTATTAAATGTTTGATGAATTTTCGTTAATATTAAACCTTTTTGTTGATAAAACTTTAAATTTCTATAGTATATCACATAGTTTTGTTTGTCAAAAAGAATAGGAATTAATTAATTATTATTATTATTATTACATTGTAAGTTTAATTTAGTAAATACTAATTTTTGACAATTCGATAATAAATCATATGAAATATTAATATGCTCTGGAGCTAACGGTAAATCATTATGACTATTGTAGACATTTTCAGGATATTTAAGAACTACTTCTATAATATAACCGGTATTATTCTCATCTGGTATATTATAAATAACTAATGCATTTATTTTATTTTCAGATGGCCATTTGAAATTATTTATTGGTAAATGTAAACTCATTACAAAACAATAAAGATTATTTGCATCTATGAAAATAATCTAATTATCAGGCTGGTTTTTATCATGTGTTTCTAAAATTAGGAGGGATATTTGCTTTTGCAAATCAATTTTTTCTATTGTTCCTCTAATCCCACTTTCAATAAATACATACATGTTAATATCGTTAAAGAATTCTAATTAAGTTTTTGTCATTTTATCAGCAATTCCAGGCTAAATCTGCAGCTATTGTTAAATATACGTGATGTAAATTATAATATTTTAAACTAAATTTTCTAAAATAATAAAATATATTAGCTAATAATAACGTGTCAACATATCGATATAAGTTTAAATAATCTTTAAAAATTTTACAATGAATGTTTTCCAAAGAAATTTATCGTGGTTGTAGTCATCGTAGGTAATGTTTTTTCGCAATAATTCATAATAAAAACATTTTTTTATGGTAAAAATGTCTCATATAAAATACTTTTATGTTTAAAATAAGAATAATACTGAGAAAATAAAATTATTTAATATGAAAATGTTTATTTTTCTAGTCATGAGGAGCATATTTTATCTCTATTAATGATCGATGAAAGCTTAACAAGTGATTTCGATACAGTTTTAAGGATTATTGATCAATTTATAAATATCTGATAATTAAAGGAATTACATTATTACATGTTCATTTAGTAATATATAAAACTTAAACTGGTGGTTGAGGTAATATTAATCTTCTTAAATACAGTCGACCCCCTTATAACGTACGTTCCTATAACGAAAATTCCTATAACGTAGCGAAAAAATTGTAGAAACTTTCGTATAAAGTACCTCCTATAACGTCGTTTCGCGACAAGATTGATAGAGTCTGGACGAATAGTGGATGAGCAGCCGAACTACTTACCTCCGACCCTGCGCCACGCTACGGAGTGGCTAAATTGAGTTTGCTATTGTCTGTTTAGTATTATATATAAATTATATATAAATTAGGTACTGTACATATAATTATATATAAATTATATATAAATTAGGTACTGTACATATAATTATATAT